TGGGGGGAGAGGACCAGGCTCTCCTTGTGCTGTGGCTACATATGCAGGTTGAGTTTCTCATGCATGTTCCTAAGACTAGTTTCCCATGCAGGTGAGGACTGATACAGCTCACTCAGAGTAGGCGGTTTAGCCTTAACAAACTGCTCCTCTGTGGGAAAATGTACCATGTCCTGTGTCCCTTCATCCCTCTTCCCCATTTTTGCTGGGTATTTCCAAGTGGATAAACTATGGAGGACACCCTGGTCATTGACCTGGGCCAGAAAACCTCTTGCCTTATTCCCTTCCTTGGCCTCTTACTTTGCTAAGTATCATCAGAGTTGAGACGCTGTTGCAATTGCTCTAAGCTTCTAAATTGGCAGTTAATATAGAAGGACAAATTTCCTCGTTTTTTGGTCTTTTTTTTTTTAATATATTGAAATTGAATATATGTGTGCTCTCTCACTAAACTACATTCTTAGTCCTTTTTATTGTGAGACAAAGTTTCACTGAATTGGTCATGAACTTACAATCCACCTGCCTCGGCCTGAGTAGCTAGGATTATAGGCATAACCTACCATTCCTGTCCTTTTTTTTTTTTTGCCTTCAAAGAATTTTCCTTTTTTCCTCTGTTTTTTTTTGTTTGTAAATTCAGCATAGAATGTAGCAGTTCTTGCTTGGATTCCTTTTCTTTTCTTGCCAGGCAGGTGCTGTGCCACTGAGCAGGGGATTGACCCCAGGACCTTGTACATGATAGGAAAGTACTCTACCACTGAGCTACATCCCCAGCTCCAGGCTCCATGTTCTTTGTCATTGTATAATACATATAGTGGCTGTCATGGCTTGTATCTGTCTAGATGTTTTCCAAAAACCTCATGTACTCATTAGGGATTGAAGTGGCACTGCCCAAAGGGCAGGATGCTGCTGCTGTTTCTTTGCTGCTTTCTGCTTTGCTGTCTTCTGCCTGCTTGCTATGGACTGTTTCTCCTCTGTGATGCCCTCTGCCATGCCACCCTGCCTTGGAGCCAGCCAACTATGGGATGAAACCTATACAAACTGTGAGCTAAAATAAACCTTTCCTCCTTTAACTTTGGGTGTTGGGTATTTTGGCTCAGCAATGAGAAAAGTAACTAAGATAGTGGCCTACTGGTCAACTATCAGATTCTGCTCCAGGCGAATCTAGGCTGGATGTACAAACATCATTCATTACAAAAGGTCTCATCAGACAACTCAAACCATGAGTCTTCATACAAATCCTTGTCTTTTCTGTCTCTTTAACAAGAAGAACTTTTAGGTAAGTAAACATAGCTATCTTTCAACTTAGACCCCTATAGAGGAACTCCTAGAGTGGTTCCTCCGTAGGGCCAAACTGAGAATATAACTTTTGAAGAAAGTGGTATATGTATGGGAACATGGGGAGATTTGCTCTCACTCAAATGAGCAAGAGCCAGCTGGAGATCAGATGCAGAGTGGCATGCTTTGCTCACACTGAAGCATACTGTGTGAGTGAAAGGGCCAGGGTGGTCTGGCTCCCAGTCATCCATATCTATATCTTCATTATCTTCTTTTCCTCAGTATCCTTATCCTTTTCCTGTTTGCCTCCAGTCTATCTGTAAAGCTCTCCAGAACTGTCAAACATATGGAGCCACACACTCTCTCAATTAAAGATACCGCTTGGTTATTATGCACCAGTAATGAGGCTACTGAACTGTAGCAACCTGTTAAGACCTAGATCTGTAGCCAGGCACAGTTTCCACAGACTCACTTCCAGACACACTTCCACCAGTGTATGCTATGGACCATCCAGTGAAGTGTAGGAGGCACCACCTACCATGTATACCACTTGTTGGGGTGGCAAACCTGGTCATCAGTGTAAACAATGAGCCACCAGCTAGGCGTGGTGGTGCACGCCTGTAATCCCAGCACTGTGGAGGCTGAGCCAGGAAGATCATTGCTAGTTCAAGACCAGCCTGGGCTGCAAAGTGAGCTCAAGGCCAGCCTGAACTGCATAGCGAGACCCTGTCTCAATAAGACAAAGCAAAAACAAAAACAAAAAACCAATCTGAGCCATATTCTGTTCATGCTCTGCAGACATTAGCAATATGTGTGAGATTTCATCTTTAGAGTCTATCTTTTCTTTATTAGACAACTCTACATCTGGGATACCTATGCAGCATAGGCCAGGGGACAGTCATGTGTCTATCATATGTATGTTTGTTATGGTTTGTGTCTAGATAGATGTCCCCAATGTAGTCATGGGGTGGGGGTTTTCCAGAGGTGGCTGAATCTAGAGTTTGTGATTGATTCAGGTTCAATGCTGGCATTAAGGGTCTAAGTTCTACACTCGCCTTAGGGTAACCTGCATACAAAATAAGGGACAGAAAGAGTCTTGTTGCTTGCTTGTTGCAAAGTAGCTTTTGCTACCTTGTGGGTGCTATGAATTGTTCTCAATGACAACTCTCTGCCTTAGAGCCAGCCAACTAAGGACTGGGGTCTCTACAAACTGTGAGCCAAATAAACCTCCCCCACTTTAACTTTGGGTGTTGGGTATTTTGTCTCAGCAATGAAAAAAGTAACTAAGTATTCGTGACAAAAAAGTATCACTGACAATGTGCACAATATTGGGTAAGAGAACTGGAAGATCAGTGGGTCCCAGATCTTTGCTCCCTAAAGGTAATGTAAATCAAACTCTTACCTATGTCATCTCCCTATTTAGGTTTTCCTTGAAGATCTTTGCTGAGCTCTACTCAGCCTTAAGCAAATAACAAAACAAAAACTAACAAAGCTACATTCAGTATGAGTAATTTAGCCTTAGAAAAATGGTAGAGCATAGCAGATACAAGGAGGAGGCTTTGGCTTCAGATAAAAAGGCAGAACTGATACAAGTTCAACTGGTTAAGTACAAACACTACAATGCTTGGGTTGCTAGTGGGTAACAGACGAGGGGATGACTGGGGATGCGGGGTTGAGGGAAGGAGAAAAGGTGGGTAGGGCCTGGAATGAGGTTAGAAAGGTCTGCTGCAAGGAAATCCTTGGTCAGGCCAGCTGGATATAATTTTTCCTATCAATTCAAGGCCAAAAAAAGGGATGCCTTTATAAAGTGGGTTCCAAGCAGCGTGGTTCTCAAATTTCCAGAATCCTTGGCATATGGAAGTGATCCCTGGCTATAAAACACTAGTTATCTCTTCCCTCTCTGGAAGAGATTTATATTGCAGGGTCTTCCCCTGGCATTGACACCCTGCTAAAGGATCTGGCCCCTCGTCCTTTTCCCTCCGCTTCCTGATCACTGGTTTGTACCTGTTTCATCAATGTCAGTATGGCCTAGGTGGCCTGTGTTGTATGGCTGCTTTTGGTGTTTGGGGAATTACTACAGAAGCACGATTTCCCCTTGTCCACATGTGGTCTGGAACATCTATGGCACCTGGTTGGTCACCCTCCCTACGATTATGGAAAGAGCACAGATGACTTTAAGTAGCAAGTTCCCTCCCTGAGGCCAAGCTGCTCCACACCTGGATGCTAAGAAGATCCCAAATGTCAGCCACATGGTGGCCCCTCCATGGGCTGCTACAGTCCTCTAGGCCACACATCTTGAGAGTATTCTATCTCCTACCTCTGTGAGACATAGAATGTGTCAGCCTTAGTCACTACTGTACTCCAGTGAGGGAATACAGTAGCCACTCAACAAATATTTATTGACTGAATAAGATAATAACCTTCCCCTAGCATTACACAGATACATTTACTATAGGCCATGAGTAGATACTATAGTGGGAAGGGCCCCCAAATGTTTGTGAATGCCTGCTCCTGTGATGCTGACTGACATCTCGTTGTCAAGGATATAACCAATATTCTGAGCCTGGAAAGTCTCTTTACCACACTCTCCGAGGGATAGAGTTAAGTCCCAGCTGCTGAGGGAAGAGGTAGAGGTTGCTGAGATTTCCACGTAAGAACTATGGACAACACTTAGGGAGTTTAAATCAAAGGTTATAAACTGGTGGCTGTTGGCCCAAACTTAGCAAGCAGAGATGATTTTACCCATATAGGGCTTAAAAATTTTTTTGGTGGCGGGGAGGTACTGGGGATTGAACCCAGGGCCTTTGCACTGAGCTACATCCCCAACCCTCTTTTATTTTTTGAGATAGGTTCTTGCTAAGTTGCTAATTGCTCAGGCTGGGCTTGAACATGTGATCCTCCTGCCTCATTGTCCCTGAGTGCTGGGATTACTGGTGGGCACTAACATTGTTGGCTTTTTGTTGTGTTGTTTTTATTATACATTCCAGGCTAGTCTTGAACTCACTATGTAGCCCAGACTGGCTTTGAACTTATGATCCTCCTGCTTCAGCCTCCAGGTGGCAAGATTACCGGTATGCATCATCATGTCTGGCTCAAAAATTTTAAACGTTTAGTTGCACATTTAAGAATTGGAGACATTTAGGATGGGATATAGTTCAATGGTAGAGTACTTATCTGGCTTGCTTTTAGCTTGAGCCCTGGCACTGAGAAAAAAAACCAAAGAATTTCCTCTTTATATCTTGTTTTTTGGGTACTGGGAAATCAAACTCAGGACCTTGCACTTGCCAGGCAGCTTCTGTGCTGCTGAGCTATATGCCTGGCCCTCTTCTTCAAATCTGGCTCTGAATAATCTTTTGAAAAATTGAAATATATGGTAGCAACAGTCTAAGAGCTGGCTAGGAGTGGCATATACTCTTTAGCTGACCATATCCTTTCCTGGCTCTCATTTAAATTTCATGCCTGGTAACAATAAAAATAAACAAACTTCCTGACTGGGGGTTAGGGATTTAGCTCAGTGGTAGAGTGCTTGCATAGCAAGTGTGAAGGTCTAGGTTTGATTCCCAGCAACATTAAAAACATTAAACAAAAAATATCCTGCCAAGTTTTGTAGGCATCTGGGTTTGCAAACTCTCCTTTAGAAGACCTAAAGAAGAGAAGCAGAGGTGGCTAGACCCCAGAACCCCAGTGATCAAGCCCTGATCCAGCTCTGGATGTAAGCTGGGCCCTCTCACCTGATATGTCAGTGACAGCAGGGTCTGCTAGTCGTCCGTAGTGTGCCATGAGTTTGAGCTTGGTCTCCTGCTTCCTGTGTTTTTTGCCCACATAATGCTGCTGAGCCATAACGGGGTCATTGAAAGTTGCATGGCAGAGGCTGCAGAACTTGTCTGGGTCTATCATCTCTCTATTCTGGTGCAAGGCTAAGGTGCAGGAGGACACAACAAAAAGATCTGTAAGGCATTTTGACAGAGCTACACTAGAAGAGTTCAAACAGAAACAATGAAAAAACCTAGAAGGTGCCAGGCTTTCAAATATACTGAAGAAAAAGAAAGGCAGTGTCACTAGTTAATCACACCTGCAGATTGGCACTTACTTGTGTGAATCACACAGTGAACACCTTCTCTAGTTGGGAAAACTGCAGGATTTGGGGGAGTCCGAAGAGCAGTTAATTTGCTCAGAAACTTTATCTAGGTACTTCCTGATTTCCTCATACTCTCAAGAGCCTCTGAACTTCTGCCATCAGGTTGCTAAACTATAATAGATTAGAGATGCATATGTAGTCTTTTCATCCCAGGATTTCCTCGAATTTCACAGCAAGTGGGTAAGAAGTCTGGGTATTTAATTCCCATTCTTAAAGCATCCCAGGTATAAACCTAGGTAGGACCAATGCACTCAGGTAGACATTGAGATTCTGAGCTTATATAGGGTCCGGCAACCATACTAGCAGTGTCTTTTAGGTTTCATTACGCTCTAGGCTAAGAGAAGGAAAGAAGAGGATAACATTTAGTTACATGTTTTATAAATATATTTTTTTTCTTTACTACTCAGAGTACTCCAATGAGTGCTGTATTATTTTGTTACATTACAGATAAAAACTGAGGCTCATACTGGTAAAATGACTTGTCCAAGATCATCTAGCTCATGAGGGAACCCAGGTCGTGTGGCCTGAAAGCCCATGATCTCTTTGCTTTGGCAAGCCACCAGGATGTGGTAAGAAGACCTGAAAGCCAGTTTTCACCTTTAGGAAACATCCCTGACTCTGTTCAATGTTCAGTTAATCAGACCCTGGAGAGAGCATGTGTGAGCCTGCTGATACTGACTACAGGCTGTGCACCTTAGAAATCACTCAGTAACAAGTCCAGGTGGCTAGAATGATGTTAACTTAGCAACTACTGCTAGAAAAATGGGCCCAGAATCCTCACCAGTAAGAGGAGGGGTGGGGCTTAGCAGCACTCACATATAGATGATGATTCAGATTCATCCCTATTCTACTTCAGTTGGGATGTTTTGAGGATTTTTAGCAAGCCAGAAGAAAGTCTGCTAATTTTTTCCGCAATACTTCTCCAATATAGGAAAACTCAATTTCTCTGGCTTTTAATTTTGTTTCAATATGTCACTGAAAAAATAAATATAGAATATTTCATGAAAAAATATTCAGTTTGTGGTATTATAAAAAAAGCAAGTTAAGCCGGGCATGGTGGTGCATGCCTATAATCCCAGTACTTGGGAAGCTGAGGGCAGCCTGGGCTACAAAATGAGTTCAAGGTGAGCCTAAACTTCTTTTTTGTTGTTTGTTTGGTACTAGGCAGCCTGAACTTCACAGTGAAACCCTGTCTCAAAAAAACAAAACAAAACAAAACAACAACAACAAAAAACCCCAGCAAGTTAAAAAGCAATTTCTTATTTCAACTTTATAAAACAACAAAAACATATAGGTAATTGCATGAAAAAAAGATCAAAAGCATAGAGACTAAAGAGTGTTTTCCAGTATTTTCCAACTTTCTACAATGAATATAGTGTTTTTTTTAACATGAAAAAAGAGATATTAATGGTCAATGAAAGATAAAGATAGAGCTAAGAAATGTAGGTCAGTGGAAGAGCACCTGCCTAGTATGCACAAGGCCCTGGGTTCAATCCCTAGCACTGAAAAGAGAGAGAAAAACCATTGTTTGAAAGACACCAGAGAAGTATCAGAGGCGAATGGTTAAGAAAAGCTGGAAAAACTGCTTAATGGACAACCTAGACCAGTGTAAGCTATAGAGCCTTGAGAAAAAACCTGAAATACGGAAAGAGAATTGTATAGGGAAGAACACTGCTGATGGTATTTGTAACACTAAGGATGGGGACAATTAAATGTTCATCATGAGAGCAATTGTTAAATGTGGTATAACAGAGTCACCCAAATGCCAACAAAAAAGCTTTTAGTAACATAGGGAAATATAAATGTTACAATAAATGAAAAAATAGAAAAAGAAATTATATGTACAATATGATCTAGTCACTGTTCAAAGATACCAGTACAATCTACTGATATATCATTCTGAAATGTCACCCATATATTAACTGTGCTTCTCTTGGTGGTAGAATCTGGGCAATATTTTACTATCTTCTTTGTATCATTTGCATTGTTTGTTCTAGAATGATTTACAATGAGTGTGTGTCATTTTAATAAAAAATGTTATTTAACATATTCTGTTTATAAGCATATACATAGAGTTCATCCACATACACATAAAACAAATATGTACAAACAGATATACATACATGTATACAACAAGATTACAGGAGAAATAGTATTCTAAAATGGCAACAGTAGTTATCACAGAATGGTAAATTCTGATAATTTTTTCCATTCATCTGTATTTTTCATATTTCCCACAACATGCTTATATTACTTTCATATTAGAAAAATGTTTAATTTCAGGAATAATTATAAATGTGTAATAACATGGAAATACGCTTCAACTAAAAAATTCAATGAAAAGTAAAAGGATACAAATGATTCATGCACTATGCTTACAACTATACAAAAACATACCTTCATATGACAAAAGGCTGAAAATGAATATGAAAAATAATATCTTTAATATGGAAGTTTTAGATGAATCCAAGGTTTTTTTTTTTTTGTCTTCTTTTGTGGGGAAGGGTCTTTTTGAGATGGAGTCTCACTGTGCAGTTCAGGTTGGCCTTGAGCTCACTTTGTAGCCCAGGATGGACTCAAACTTGCAGCAATCCACCTGCCTCAACCTCCCAAGTGCTGGGATTACAGGCATGTGCCACCATGCCCGGCCATAGTATGGAAGTTCTGGGATCAGGCATATTATAGAAGATTTTCTCATTTGTGAAAAGATAGGTTTATAACCTAATTAAAGTTCAGTTCTTAAGCCAGTTTCCCTTAGCCTAGTGTTTAAACATTGTACTATACTGGTATCAACATAAAGCAAAAGCAATCGATATTCATAGAAGTTACTGATGAATCAACCATTGGCAAGGCCAAAGGTATGCTCCAGGTGATGGGTGCCCAATCAGCTATTGTATTTTGTGAGGGAATTCGACTCACTGGCTATCTTTTTTGGTGGGGTGGGGAGGGCAGTAATGGGAATTCAACCCTCGGCTTTCTTAGTGAGCTACACTCTCCAGCCTTTTTGCTGATTTTTGGAGACAGGGTCATGCTAAGACACTAAATTGCCCAGAATCTCTCAGAGTGCTGGGATTATGGGCATGTGTCACAATACCTAGCCTCACTGGCTATCTTACTGGGGACAGCAATAATAGTAGCAGAGGCTGTCATTTATCAATATCTATTATGCCCTATTTTTTTTTTTTCTGGTAACAGGAATCGAACTCATGACCTCACGCTTGCCAGGCAGGTGCTGTGCCACTAAGCTAAATCCCTGGCCCTATGCCTTATTTTTTAATGTACATTATTTTATCCTCATAATCTATGAAGGAAACAGCATTAACATTTTGTAAGTGAGGAAACTCAAACACAAAGAAGTCATACAAATGGTAAATAGCAGTGCCAGAATTCAAACTTGGGCTTGCATGTCTTCGAAGTCTGTATTTTATTGTTTAATACTGTGAATAACTAGAATTGGATATGATAAGAGAGTGTAATTATGAGTGATTTTCCACCCTACCTTCAAAGCCTTCTAAAATATTCTTATTTTCACAATACAATAAAACAAAAAGGATACTAAGTACCATAAGTAGTACAGTCTACTTCTTGGTCCAAAGTGGAGAAGCAAAAATTATCAAGAAAATGAAATAAAGATCAAAGAACTCCCATTCTTAACTAATTATTTAGCAGAGGTTAAAACCTCACCAAGTCAGGAGTGAGGGCAAGACCCAGTGCTGACAAGATAAAGGAGACTATGTTTTAGAAGTCACTGCCCTGGGATTGAATCCATGGCAGCTGCAAACAGCTTTGTGGGCAGTAGTGTCAGCACTGAAGTATTCTGCTTTGAAAGGCATGTCCCTGTCTTGAGGGAATGGGCAGCTTTTGAGGATTAAAGTGAGCAGTGCATAACCTGAGCACATGGAAAAGGACAAGGATTTAGCTTTTAACTGAGAACATATAAGCAGGTGGATAGTTCAGGGAAAAATCTAAGTGGGAGAGGTAGTGGACAGAACATTCTCACTGTGCGCATTCTCACTTTGGCACTTATAAATTGTAATTATTGGTCAGGAGAAAAGCTCAGGTTAAGAAGCTTCTGCGAAAAACTGATAGAACCAATAAAAGGGAGGTTAGGTGAGCACAACTCTGAGGCTGCATTCCAATGAAGCAGATCTACTTTGACATTTTTAAGGGGTCTCAAAAGCAGTCCAACCTCTCCAAGTCTGTGGCCCCAACAGGCATTTCTGGGAGTACCCGTCAATCATGCCCAGAGGACAGGAGGGGTCCCAACAAAGCACTACTCAGGAAAACCAGTACCTTCCACCTTAGTGGATTGCTGCTTCAGCTTTAAGTTCTTTGCGTGGGTCTTCCCCAGGTAATGCGACTGGGCCACAACAGGGGAGGAAAAGGTCATGTTACAGATGGGGCAGCACTGGTTCTTGTCTTTGCTTCTGCTGCTCTTCTGGTTAGGAGAAAGAACACAGGTCTGATCATGCCACTGCTCATCCAGAAAATCTTCGATGGTTTCCCACTGCCCATAGGATACTGGGCATTTAAGACCCCCTTCATATATTAACTCCCAACCTACCTTTCTGGGTTTTTCTCCAGCTACTTTGTCCCAGGCTCTACTCAACATTCCCCACTGTAGTTTTCTGTTGCTTCCCTGCTTTATTTGGGCTATTCTTGTTGTCTAGAATATTCTTTTTCCCTTTCCTGCCTTGCATTATGTCTGCTTGGCTTTCAAGGTCCAGTTTAAATATTAGCTCTTCATCTGGGAGATTTTTACCCAAAAAGTCATTTGGCAAACAATTATCAAGCCCCTTTGCATATTCATTCCAGGAAAAATTAATGTTGCTTTTCCTCTGTAGTCCCAGAGCACTAAATAGATCGTAACTATACTTCTGGCTAATACCCTAAACCAGTGGTGGCAAGCGAATGGCATGTGTGCCACAGCAGGCTGTTTCATTCAAAGTTCCAAAAGGTTCACCAGCGCTGCCCTAAATTGACAGTGTCATAGCTCAGGAACCTTTTCTGAGAACTCAGGTGCAACATTTGGACATGGCCTGTTTGACTCCTCTTTGTTTCCTAGCTTCATACTTTGCTGGAGTCTGGCACACAGTAGATGCCCAAGGTTCTCTGAATAGGATCATCATTGGGTTTTATTTTCTGATTATGGTTAGGACAGAAAATGTATTTTAAGCCTATGTTGAGATCTGCCAGTTTCTCTGAGAAAATGATACCTGAACAGGGTATTCACTCACAGGTTTTCTCACCCTTGGTACTACTGACACTTAGGGCTCAGTAATTCTTTGTTGATGATGGGTGCTGTGATCTCATCTGACCTACTCAGTCACCCTGCCAGGAGTTGAAGGAACTACAGTACAAAGAGAGAAAGTGACTTGCCCAAGGTCACAGAGTTGATCTTGCTTGCCTGAATTCTAAATAGTAAGAAAGGCAAACTGGGGATGAGTCCAATGAACTCCAAGAAGGATAAACAAGGCCTGTCCTAACGATTGGCTCCTATAACAGAAGGCAGCTGAGTAAACTCTTAATTTATTAAGTATCTACTAGGAACTGGAATTTTGCCTCACAATATCTTTTTTGTTTTTCTTTTTTTTTCTAAGACAGGGTCTTCCTATGTAGTTCAGGTTGGCCTTGAACTCAGTATGTAGGCCAAGCTGGTCTTAACCTTGTGATGATGCTTCTGCCTCAGCCTCCCAAGTGTTGGGATTATAGATGTGCACTGCCATGCTCAGCTGAGAGTATTTTAAGAGGCAGGAGTTATCTCCACTTTATGAGTGAAGTTCAGAGAGGCTAAGTAACTTGCCCAAAGTCATTCACTTAGTAAGTTGCAGTTAACTTACTAAAAGTAAGAGCCTGCTTACTTCTTATCCCATTATGTGCACAGCCTCCCGCAGAACAAAAATGAACAAAAATGATGGTACTCCAGAGGGACTCGGGGTTGTTTCAGCATAATCCTCACAGTAATTCTGAGCCAAAAAATAAATGCAATTACTTCTCGATCAAAGCAGGCACTGGTTTTACTAATTTACTTGAAACATTCAAGTGCTGAACTCAGTTCTTTTCTATGGCTCTCAATAAAGTATGCAGTCTGGCTTCCTTCCACTTTCTCCTGGGCAGCTTCTTGTCCTGATCCACCAAACCACTGGGTGGTAATATATAAAAATAGTTCCATTTACTAAGTCTCTACTATGTGCCAGTTTCTATGTTGGATGCTTTTTATAAAACTTTTCTTGTTTTAGCTAGGAAAAATTCTGAAAGGATGTTATCCTCATTTTTATAGAGGAGGAAATCATGGCTCAGAGAAGTAATGAGACCTGGCCAAAATATACAACAGGACTGGTATTTGCAGCCAAGTCAGTGTAACTGTTTCACCACACCAACCTGCTTGCTGGCTTCATCAGGAAGTGAGCGGTCTCAACGTGGCAGCTGTATTACCTGATCTGAGTCTAGCCTCTTCGTTTCCCCCTTTAATGTCTCCAGTCCATGGATTGCTAGGTATCTCTTCACTTTGTTGGCATGTTTTTTGCTCTGGAAGAACCCAGGAAAAAGATCAAAGATAGCCAAATGCCATTTCACATTGAAGGCACTCAAAAACATTAGCTTTTTGTCCAATTTGTCCTCTCAGAAAGTTTTAAGGAGAAGGTGGGGGGAGAATGTTTATTGAGTTCCTACACTGTGCAAGCCACTTTATATGCTATTAAATTAAATCTTCACAACAATCTATGAGAAAATTGTTACACGAAGAAACTGAAGCTGAAAATGGTGAAGTTTCTTGGCCAAGATGAGTAGCAGAGTTGTGATTCAAATTTAGGTTAATTTAAAGCAATGCCTCTTACTTTCTACTGTATCAAGCTGCAAAGGAAGATACCCATATAAGGGTTCTGATTCGGATATGGAAGGTGAGACTCAGGGAAATCAAGTCAGCCTTTAAATACAAGCTGATAAGCAGGAAGGCAGTATCTAGTGGCAAAGAAAGAATTACCCTTCACCATGTAAGCCAGGGAGAAGAGAGGGCTTGGCACTAGGCTGGAAAAATAAAGCACTTTTAAAGTACAATGGCTTACCTGGTAATGTGCCAGCTTCTGGGACTCAGAAATCAGCAAGGCACAGCAAACCTTACACTGGGTGTCGGTGAAGAGACACTGATTCTTCTGGATCATGTGCTCCACTACAGAGAAGAAAAAAAATGAGTTAATAAACAGTACCTCAACAGCACTGCCTTTTTTTTTTTTAAAGAGTAAAAGAAGGATAACATAGTAATAGGGGGGGCTTACCGAATTACAAAGTGGTAGGAAATTATCAGTGGTTATTGTTTTACATATTGTTGTCTACAAGACAGTTTCTCAGGAAAACAAATAGACAAATAATAGTGAGTTACAGACGAAAGAGGTAGGAGATTATCAAAAGTTATTGTACTATACTTTGGTATCCTCAAAGTGGCTTCTAAAGAAAATAAATAGAGCTATACATGAGTGACCAATTGAATATTCATTAACTATTCTCAATGGTTTCAACAGTACTGCCTTTGAACCCTGTCTCAAACATTTGTACTGAGTAATGAAATGCATACCAGTACATACAAGAGGTTACCTGCATCTCCTACTGCATCTATGACTGCTAAGGTCCAACACCACCTGTATTGTTACTTATTTTATTATTTTATTTTATTATTTTATGCATGCCAACTTTCTTTATTTACTGTCTTGGTTACTTTTCTTTCGCTGCTGAGACAAAATACCTGATGCCCAAAATTAAGGAAGGAAAGGTTTATTTAGTTATAGTTTGTGGAGGTTTCAGTCCATCCTTGGCTAGCTCCAAGGCAGAGTGGCACATGGCAGAGGGCAACAGTTTACGGCAGTGGAAGATACAAGAGCAACAAGAGCAAAAAGGGAGGAGCAGTGGCAAACAGCCTCTTTCCCTCCTTTACATTGTTTGCAAACTATCTGCCCCAAGGCGGGTATAGCATTCACACCCATGAATTAATCATAAACTCTAGAAGTCTGCCCCAAGACTTCAGAAGGCTTTGCAGGGGGACATCCAGACTTCTTTTATAGAGAGATCTTTAGCTCAGTGGTAGAATGCTTGCCTAGCATACATGAGGCCCTGGGTTCAATTCCCAGTACCACACATAGAAGGATGGCAAATCTTTAGATCATAGACTTATGTAGATACTAATAAAAATAAATACAATAAAAATGAAAAAAATTCTAGCCACATATTAGTACCAGACGATTGGTGCATTCCCTAAGAAGGGTAAGAAGTCACATATGGCAGTGTGCACTGGTAGTCCCCGTTACTTGGGAGGCTGAGGCAAGAGGAGCCCAAGAGCCCAGGAGCTCAGCCTGAGCAACATACCAAGACCCCATCTCAAAAAAAAAAAAAAAAAGAAGATGACTAAGGGAGTAGCAACTGTGAAGAAAGGGGTTTTTTGTTTTGTTTTTTGGAGACAGCATCTTGCTATGTAGTTTAAGATGGCTGTGAACTCACCAGGTTGTCTAAATTGGCCTCAAACTCACACCGACCCTCCTGCCTCAGCCTTTCCAGTGCTAGGATTATAGGCATGTGCCACCATGCCCAGCTGAAGAGGTTTTAAAATATGGTAGTATGGGTGGGGCATGGTTGTACATGCCTGTAATCCCAGCACTCAGGAGGCTGAGGCAGGAGGATTGTTGCGAATTTGAGACCAGCCTGGGCTACAAAGTGAGCTCAAGGCCAGCTTGAACTGCAGAGTGAGACCCTGTCTCAAAAAGACAAAAAATAAAAAAATAAAATAAAACATGTATGTGAGACTTTTCCCCCAGGTAGAATCAGATGACTGAAAGACTTGGAAAGAGAACAATTTTCTTGTTCCTGCTTTTAATTTATTATTGTTATTATTCTTATTAGCTGGCCTTGAACTCATGATCTTTCTGCCTCAGTCTCCCAAGCAGCTGGGACTATAGGCACATACCACCATGTCTGGCTTCTTGTTGTTCTAGATCTGACTGTGAAGTATCTAAAATTGCCCAATATGTTACACTAGCTCTACACTGTAGGAAACATAGTATTAGCCTATGCTTAACTGTTGGGCCTGGATAACAAAGCTTTGCCTTTCTAAGGTAGGAATTTTGGGACCTTCCAAATTTTGAAGTTTAGCGGGGGAAGTAAAGTTGAATATAAAACAAAACGAATAGAGGGGTGGGAATTCTGGCTAAAAGGTAAAGAAATTCTCTACCCAAAAGCAACTATGTAACTGCACAGAACAACCATTTCAGCACTTTAGAAATTGATAAAAGGTGCTCAACAATCTGAGAAGCAATTATGCTTACAAAACAACTTTGGTAAGAATGAAGATCTGGTTTTCTTACGTGAAGCTATTCTCCATTCCTCTCACACTCAGCTGGTGCAATCTACCAGGAAGGGACAGGCTGAGAACCACTATCTTCCTCATGGAGCAGGGATTTTACTATTCCACTTTGAGTGACAGATAAGGCCCATTCTCAGCAATACTGTTGGTAGAAGTGATGATCTCAAAGACAGGTAAGCAGGAAGAGGCAAAAGTTCTGCTAGCGTAAAGCTGTGGTTATAGGTGAGGTAAGCATGTCCCTGGGTAAGACTGTGTGGAGCAAGGGAGATCCAAGAGGCTCAAAGTTAGCCCAATATTTCTGGCCTATGCTGAGGCGAATACACTTGAATGCAAAAGGACCCAGTGGTAAGTAAAAAGCCAGGACCTTAAAATGGCCTCAACTTTGACTATACTTCCCTATCAACATACACATTCAATGGTAGATTATAAAGGCCTTGTTGGACGCCAGGGATATAGCTTAGTGACACAATGCCTGCCTGGCAGGTGCAAGGTCATGAGTTCAATTCTCACCCCGCTGCCCAATACAGGCCTTGTTGGACATACTGGTGCATGCCTCTAATTCCAGCACTTGAGAGGGTGAGGCAAAAATGATTCAAAGTTTAAGGCCTGGGCTATACAGTAAGACCCTGTGCCTTAAAAAAAAAAATAAATAAATTACTGGCTGACCAGTATGTAATACAGACACATGAAGAAAAAATGATTGGGATTTCTTTTCTTTTTTTTTTTTTTTGTCTTTTTGAGACAGGGTTTCATTATGTAGTCCAGGTTGGCCTTGAACTCATTTTTAGCCCAAGCTGGCCTCAAACTTGCAGCGATCCTTCTGCCTCAGCTTGCCTCAGGGTGCTAGGGTGTGTGCTACCATGCCCAGCAAGAAATGACTACAAAAGAAACAAACAACAATATTTGCTTTTGAAGTCTTCAGCCACCATGTAAATAGTCTAACTACTTTGAGGCCACCAGGGTGTGAGAAACCTCAACTAGTCCATGAATAAAGATAATATGGACAGGCCCTGACACCCCATGGTAAGAGACTTTTGGTCATCTCCCAGAAGCTCCCTTCAGCCACAGTTTTAGTTTTACTCACCATCTGATTATAACTGCCTGAGAAATCTTGAGCCAGAACTATCCAGCCAAGCCTGCCACAAATTCCTGGCCCACAAAAATCAAGAGAGTTCTATGAGTGCGGGAAGCTAAGGCCAACAAAAGAAGAAAACAGAACTTACGTAAATATCAGAATTCTGGGAAAGTAGCCTGACTGCAAGTAACTGTTGCTCTGATATCCCCATACAACTCCAACTCAGCACATTGGAAAGGTGTGATACAGGCATTTAGAAAATCACTAGAGGCAGAAGGATTGGTACTAGGTTGGGGCTCTCCAGGAACAAATGCAGAAATGTTCCAGTAGGCTAATAATAAATCCCTGAGGTCTCCTTTTCAGCTTTGCTGGAGGAAGCTTTCACTATCAACTAAACCAATCCCTCAACCTATGAAGCTAAAGAATAGACATTAGAATACTGATATAGAAAGATCTCATAATTCCACGACTTTTCTTTTTCTTTTTGTTTGAACCCACAATCTTGCGCATGCCAGGCAAGCACTCTACCAGTCCTTTTTATTTTGAAACAGGGTCTAAATTGCTAAGGCGGGCCCCAAATTTACAATCCCTCTGCCTGAACCTCCCGAGTAGCTGGGATTACAGGCATGTTCCACTGTACCCAGGGTTATGACCTTTCTTGACAATAACAGCTAAGAAATACAGGAGGATGGTCTTTAATACATGTCTGGCTTCCAAATCTTACAAGAAGTTATGACTTGTAGGATTTAATTTGTATTTATGGTATAGTTAAATTACAAGGTATATGGCGTAAAGGGCTAGAGACGAAATTTAGAGTATGAATCATAGGGCTGATTTTCACCAGGGTCAATGAAATACAGACAGAGAACTAGTATGGAAAGCAAGATAACTCACAAACCAGGAGAATGGAGTGTAGCTCAGCGGTACTGCACAGTTAGAATGCACAAGGCCTTAGTTTCAATTTCTAGCACCCCCACTCAGAAGAGAGATAATTCATCAGTTTAATTAATTTAGGGGAAGTTATATCTGGGGAGCAAAATACACAAAATTATTACAGTATTTTAATCCAAGTTATAACTGCCCTTGGGCAACTTATGGTATCTCAAGTTGTCTTAGTTTGTCTTAGCTTTTTATGTCCAGGAAGACTGCTTCCAGAATGACTAAACCACCTCCTACACTCCAACTAGTAGTATACACTGCTTGCTATACCTATGGCCTTAAGACTTGACTCTGTCTCAAAACATAAATAAATTTAAAAAGGACTGGGGATATAGCTCAGTGGTAGAGTGCTTGCCTAGCATACTTAAAGCCCTGGGTTCCATCCCCCATTGCATTTGTAATGCAAAACAAAACAAAATCAAATCTATAATCCAACATAGGTTAAAGAAGGCCTAAATCTGCATTTGATTTTTTTTTTTGTCTTTTTGAGACAGGGTCTTGCTATGCAGTTCAGGCTGGCCTTGAGCTCACGTTGTAGCCCAGGCTGGTCTTCCTCTGCCTCAGCCTCCCGAGTGCTGGGATTACAGGCGTGCGCCACCATGCCTGGCTAAGTCTGCATTTGAATTCAAAAACAGTAAGTTTGTTTTCCATATTTTAGTACCATGTGGCCATTTTATATTAACTTTCATATTGTTTTCATTTTACTTTGCCATTGTAAACATATGGGCAGGGGGAAGCATTTCTCAAAGGTAGTTTTTAGCATCTGGGTTTTAATACTGGTTTTAAATTTGCAAGGTGAGTTGCAGAAATTAAACACTAGGAGGTACCCACTTATCTTAACAGTGGAAATATTGATATCATTATTGGGGTGGGTTTTTTTTATAAGTCTGCATAGAAAAATTTCCCAAACAAGAAAAGACTGTTTTGATTATATGTATGTAGGCTATCTTTACAGAATGAAAGATTGTTTAAAAATGTCATTTTCATGGCCAGGGATATAGCTCAGTGGCACAAGCACATGCCTGGAAATTTTAAGGTCCTGAGTTCGATTCCTGGCACCAGAAAAAAAAAAGTCATTTTCAGAGGAATGCATGTAGCTACAATTGTGAATACCTTATAAACATTTAACTAAGGACTGGGGGTGCAGCTCAGTGCAAAGTCCCTGATTCAATCCTTAGTATGGTACTGGGAGAGAGAGAAAAAAAGATGGTCTCTAATTTCGGAATGAAAGAGAGAACTTCCATGAGAAATATAATAAAATGTCATGCTGCAGAGTACACTATAAAAAGGAACAAAGAGAAAAAAGATTACAGGATAATGAACAGAGCTTCAGATATTATGGGAAAATATGCAGTATACTAACATGTGTAAAGAGGATTCTAGGAGAGCAGAGTATAAAAAGTTTTTTAAAAATTTGAAAACTTGCCATATTTGATGAAAAAAAAATCTATACATCCAAAAATCTAAAGGAGCTAGGTGTGGTGGTACACACCTGTAATCCCAGCCCTTGGGAAACTGAGGCAGGACAATCACTGCAAGTGCAAGGCCAGCCTGGGATCCAGAGAGTTCAAGGCCAACATGAACATTATAGTGAGGCCCCATTTCAAAACTCTACCCCCTCAAGGAGAAATACACTCTAACAAGAAAGTAAATATACAACTCAGTAACATAGTTGTTCATTATTATTACTGATTAGTATATTATAATTATAGGTGATATGTATGTATGTATGATTTATTTATTTATTTAGGGTAGCTCCGATGACTGAGCTATGTCCCCAGCCCTTTTTTAAAATTCTAAAGAGAGTCCTCTTAAATCACTAAGTTGCCCAGGCTGGGCTTGAGCTTCCGATCCTCCTGCCTGTCTCCCAGTGTTCTGGCATTATAGTGTGCTTTTTATTAAGACAGACATGCAATATGTTTGTTTATACCAGTATTATCACAAACATGAGAATAAAGCATTGCACAATGTTACAATGGCTGTAATACTATGTGACAGGAATTCTTTTTTTTTTATTTGTCTTTTTGAAACAGGGTCTCACTATGCAGTTCAGGCTGGCTTTAAGCTCACTCTGTAGCCCAGTTTGGCCTTTGAACTCACAACGATCCTCCTGCCTCAGCCTCCCGAGTGCTGTGTGACAAGAATTTTTTAGCTCCTCTCTTATGGGATCACTGTTGTACACCTACTCTGTAACTGATGATATTGTTTTAATTTTGAGACAGGGTCTCACTACATTGGTAAATTGCCCAAGCTGGGCTTGCACTTACTATCCTCTTGCCTCAGCTTCCCAGAGTGCAGGAATTACACATATGCACTTCCACACCCAACCTAATGTGATATTTTAACATATGGATATGGCATGGACTGATGAAACTCAACCTCCCTTTCTCCCACTCTCCTTCCCAACCCCTACCTCTATTTTACATTCAGGTTGACTTTTTTCTTAGCTTCCACACATGAGAACATGCTGTGTTTGTCTTTTTGTGTTAGTCTTATTTCATTTAACATGTCCTCCAGTTTATCCACTTTGCTAAAAATGACAGAATTTCATACTTTATGGGAGAATAATATTCCATTGTATATATAGGCCACAGTATTTTTATCAATTCATTGGTTGATTGGCATCTAGACTGATTCTGTATCTTGGCTATTTTGAATAGTGTTGCAGTAAACAGAGGCATACAAGTATTTGGTGTGATTTTATTTTCCTTATATACCCAGCAGTGGAACAGGCGGATGATATGGCAGATTTCTTTTTAGTTTTTGAAGAACCTGTTCTCCATAATGACTATACTAATTTACATCCTTACTAGCAGTGTATGAAAGTTCCTTTTTGTCTATATCCTCACCAGCACTTGTTATTTTTTGGTAACAGCTATTCTAAGTGGAGTGAAATGATATATTACTGTAGTTTTGATTTGTATTTCCCTAATGGCTAATGGCACTGAGCATTTTTTTCATATAATTGTTGGCCATTTGTAATTCTTGAGAAATGCCTGTTCAGATCATTTGCCTATTTTTGTATTTGTTTAATTGGTTTTTTTTTTTTTTGGTATAATTTTTTGAGTTCTTTATATATTCTGTATATTAATTATTAAATAAATACTTGGCAAGTATTTTCATTCACTCTGTAAGTTGTCTCTTCATTATATTATCTCTTTCTTTTGCTATTCAGAAGCTTTTTAGGTTGATGTAGTCCCATTTGTCTGTTTTTGCTTTTGTCTGCTATGCTTTTGGAGTTCTATACAAAAAAAAACCACTGCCTGTATCAGTTAAATAAAACTTTTGTACTTCAATAAGAATTGCTTAGAAAATGAAAAGACAAGTCATAGGTAGGAAATATTTGGAAATCCTACCTCTAATAAAACACTTGTACCCAGAATATACAAGAAACTCTTTCAAGTCAATAGTAAGAATCCAGTTACAAAATGGGGGAGAGACATGAATAGTATTTCACCAGGAAAGAGATACAAGTAGGCCATAAGCACATGAAATAGTGCCTAAAAGTCATTAGTGTTTAGGAAACCACGATGAGGTATTACTAAAATGCCCTCTGGAATGGCTAACATTTAAAAAAAAAACAGTAACATACTGGGGAGGAGATAAACTGAAATCCTCATAAATAGACGGAAGAAATGTGAACTGGTGATGCCATTTTGTCGTTCCTCAAAAATGTTAAAGTGGAAATTCCAGCTTTTCTGTAGGCTAAGGCAGAAAGATTGCAAGTTCAAGGCCAGCCTGCGCAACTTAGCAAGATCCTATCTCAAAACTAGAAAAAATTAAAAAGTGCTCAGTGGTAAAGCACATACCTAACTAACATGCATGAAGCTCTAGGTTCAATACCTAGTACCTCCCCACAAAAAAGTAAAGATGGAGTTATTACAGGGTGTAGCAATTCCCCTCTAGGGATATACTCAAGAGAAAGCAATGTCCACACAAAAACTTCAGCACAAATATTCACAGCTGCATTATTCACAATTCTCAATAATTCACAATTCACAATAATTCACAATTATTCCAAATGTCCACAACTAATGAGTGGATAAACAAAGTCAATCCACAGTGGAATTCTACTTAGCAACAAAAAGAAAGTACTAATACACACAATGACCTGGTGAGCCTCAAAAACATGCTAAGAGAAGCCAAACTTAAAATCCTACATATTGTATGATTCTACTTGTATGAAATGTTCACATAGATTCATGGGGTCAGAAAACAGATCAGTGATCATCCAGGACAGGACATAGGAGCGGGGATTTAATATGAAGAAGCATAAAAGAAGTAAGTGGGGTGATGGACATGTCCCACAACTTGACTGTACTTATGGCTATACATCTCCATATTTTTATTAAAAAACATTGTATTAAAGGTATGCTTACAACAGTTGAAAATATATATATATATATACATATATTAGTTTAATGAAAGTGCTGTGAGAGAAAAGTGAGTAGAACTTAAGGGTTGTTAGGTATCTACCTCTTTCTCATTTAAGCATGGGAAAAGAGAATAGGGAAATGATCTAGGTCATAGTAGTGACACCACATATTGCTATACACAGAGACATTATTTTTTAGAGCACAGCTACTGTGTTCTCTACTTCAAGGTCCATAGCATGCCTTCCCTGTACACCAAGGTCACTTAATTTTTGTGTTCCCCAATTCTTTGGCATTCTTATGCACTCCATCATTATATTGGAACATTATACATTTTGATGTCTGCAAGCCCCTCCAGCCAAGAACTGTATATTCCTTATCTCTAGTTTTGATGTCCAGTCAGTTGAGGGAAAAGAACAGGGATCAATAAATGTCTGTCAAATTAATACAATGAAAATTGAGAGAGGAAGACAACTTTGTCCCAATTATGTTTAAAGAAAGATAGGAGTTCAGAAATAGTACACACATTATTTAGGAGTCAGGTTAGACTGTCAGATTGGAGAAGTAGACACACAAATTTAAACATCTCTTCCTGGAATGTGGTCAAAAGTCAATTTTATACAGGGTAGCTTATAAACACATTAAACTTTCCAAAATTAGTCTGCTCAGCAAGCAATCAAGCCATTAAAGAAATCTGATTTCCCTGTAAATACCTGACAGGATTAGCACAGAAGCCCTCATACAATTCCTCTATATTCTAGGTTAGTGTTACTAGCGCGAAAGGAAAGGACTGTTGAAGGGGGTCACACAAGCAGGTGACCCAGATCTTCCCATTCTTTTTTTAAAATTTTCATCTTACCCAGTCTCAGATCAAACACGCTTCCGCAGAGAAATGACCCAGCGTAGCTTTGGGTACAGTTCACCATTAAGTGTGAGATACAAAAAAAAAATAAATAAATAAAAAATAAAACTAAAAAAGCATATCCAGGTCACCTTCTCAGGTTCCTGGTCATCATTTTAGATTAAGATCCCGGCAAGAGGCCAGATACCTAGAAATAGCAGTAAGCCAGGGAACAATCACCAAAGCCAGGAGGAACAAGAGAGTGCTTTCCAGATCCTCCCATTAGCGTAGGGTCCGAGAGAAAAAGATCAAGAAACAATGGAGGTGGGGAATTCTGGAGGAGCCGATGCGAGTCAGGGAGAAATGGTACTTGGCTTGGCCGCAGGTACGGCAAGGAAGGTTCTGTAGGTCTTTGCCAGGGTAGCCCTCGAGAGAGGGGAAATAACCCAGGTCCCGAACGAGGCAGGCCTGGAGCCTTCTTGCGCTGGAGTCGTGCTGGGGCTAAGTACGGGGGTCCGGCCGGGCGTAACGCAAGGAGGCGGGCCGGGCGCCACGGGGTGTGACCAGAGCCCCGAGGGGCAGGGCCGAGGTCCCTCCCCCCGCGCCACTGCCCTCAAGCAGAGCCGCCTTCAGTGTCCCCGACTCACCGATTGAGCTTCTATGTCCCCGACTCACCTTCCTCCCTCCCCACTGGCTGAGTACTGGACACTGCTTCCCACAGGCGGCGCGCCCTCTCGCGGTCGAAGCGGACCCCGTCCGGTTCCCCGCCCTCCCGCTCTCCCGAGCCTTTGTATGGCCCGGCCCTTCCGCCATCCGCAGCATCCACAGCGCCCAACGCAGGATACTCCATCTTTCCCGCAAGCCCACGTCGGTGGAAAGCTGCTCCTGCGCCTTGGTATCGCGAGATGTTGAGGGGCAAGGGCGGGGCGGGGTGGTGGTGCGGGGGCGGGGATTTGGCCTGGCCAACAGATCTCGCGATATTTGGGCTCTGCGGGCAGTTTTGTGGTTCTGGGCCTGAGGTTTGTTTTCCTTTGTTGCCTCTGGGACATTCGTGCCGTGTGCAGTGTGTTCGAAACCTGTAGTCGTTGCCGCAGTAAGGACTCCTCTCTTCAGGCCAGGCAGGTGCGATTCTTGGTTCAGGGTTCTCACCTTGCTCACTGTCAGCCACTGAGACGCTTTACTAGTATGCAGACTAAGGCCCAGATCCTAGAAAGGGCTGAGTCAAAAGTTCGTTATACTAAACGGTAGAGCCAGGATTCCATCATCATGTTGCAGTTACTGCAAGCAAATCCCAAACCACCGTGAACGCGTCCGATTTCGTCAATTACTGCTAATAATAAGTACCATTTATTGCACTTGGGAGGCTGAGGCAGGAGGATCGTGCGAGTTCCAGACCAGTCTGCCGTAAAAAGTGAGCTCAAGGCCAGCCTGAACTGCATAGCGAGACCTTGTTTCAAAAAGACAAAAAAAAAAAAAAAAAAAAAGAAAAGAAAAGAAAAAAGAAAAAAAAAGTACCATTTGTTGAATTCCAAGTGCCAACCCCTAGCTCAGACCGTCTCTTAAACCTTAGATCTATATATCGTTACCCGTGCGACCCTTCTACTTGGATAGTTTAACAGGCTTCTCCAACGTTAAATGTCAAACACAAAATTTTATTTTGTAACTCCAGACCTGCTCCTACCCCAGTCTGTTGAAGTCACTGTCTCTTGCCAAGTTATTTATCATAGTAGTATCCTGTCTGGTCCCTTCCCTAGCCCTGCAGGTATTCCCAGCAGTACAGCACAGGAAATGTCATGCAACAAGTCAGATTATGGTGTTCTCATGCAAATCCTTCAGTGGCTATCTCCTTTTTAGCCAAAGTCCTTACTTTGACCAAAAAGGCCTTATACAGCCAGATTTCCCTTAACCTCATCCAACGTGTTACACAATCCTCAAACCCTTAATGCTTGTCCCAGTGACCTAGAATATATTTCTCCCATATATCATAATGACTCGGTCTCTTAGCCCTCCACACACACAGTCCGCTGTAGTCCGTATCCTTCCTTCCTGCTTTATTTTTTTCTCCTTAACATTTCTCATGCATAAAATGTTTTAGTTTTTAATCTTGTTTATTGTTTATTTTCCTACTGAGGGGCTGGGGACTTAGCTCAGTGGCACAGCGCCTGCCTGGCAAGTGCGAGGTTGTGAGTTCGATTCCCGGTACGGGAAAAAAGCCAAAAAAAAAAAAAAAAAAAAAAAAATCTTCCTACTGGAAGACAAGTTCCAGCAAAGCATATATTTTTGTCTACTTCCTCTCGGCTAGATCCACAGCATCATGAAATGCAGCCTAAATTTTGCTAAGTACACAAAAAATATTTGTTGAGTGAATGAAATTTGTGATTACCTATTTCAATTTCATTTATTAAAATATTTATTGGGAGTTTATTATGAGCCAGATGATATTTGGGGCACTGGAATACAGTGGTGAACAAGACAGGGAGATGAACAAATAAGCTCTAATATTTTCATTAGTGTATTTTTATTACTGTAGTGGAGAAAAGTATAACAAAAAAGCTAACATCGTAAGTGTTAAGGACAAGACAAAACAAGGAAACATCAGATGAATTATGACGGAGAAACATTAGGGTGTTCAGGAAAAGAATCTGAAGAAATGACTTTGCACTAAGTCCTGATTGAAGAAGAAGGAATGCCTATGCAAACTGCTGGGGAAGAATGTTTCAGGAGGAGACAGGAGTGAGTTGATGTGTTGGAGCAACAGGAAAATGGACGATACTGCTGGACACTCCAGAAGGGGAAAGTGGTAGCAGAGGTCAAAGAGAAAAAGATTATTCTTGCTTGAGATCACCCAGATCACCAATGTGATCATTTTTTACTTATACCACAAATATTTACTTATTTATATGATAGGTTTTTTTGATCTGTCTTTTGAGACAGGGTTTCACTATGCATTTCAGGCTGGCCTTGAACTCACTTTGTAGCCCAGGCTGGGCTCAAATTTGAAGCGATCCTCCTGCCTCGTCCTCCTGACTGCTGGGATTACAGGCGTGCACCACCATGCCCAGGCTCTTGGTAGTCTTTTCTTATCTGGAGGGACACATTCCATGATGTGAATGAATGCATGGAACTGAGATAGTACTGATCTGTAGATGTACTATGTTTTTTTTCTTTTTGAGACAGGGTCTCACTATGTAGTTGAGGCTGTCCTTGAGCTCATTTTCTAGCCCAGGCAGGTGTTGAACTTGCCATGATCCTCCTGCCTCAGCCTCCTGAGTGCTGGGATTATAGTACATAGTACAGCCACCACACCCAGCTGTGCTGTTTTTGTCTCTAAATACATAAAGTTTAGGTGACCATGTGGCACACCCAAATTGGAGTTCAGCTAAATATTTTTTCCCTCAGAATAATGGGCTCTGCCAGCTGGATACAGGCATCAAATAGTAAATTACTGTTCCATTTAAAAGTTTGAGGAAATAAAATTTCCTTGCAAGACAAACTGTATCAACTTTTATTGGAAGTCTCTTTGCTCATTGAAGTTCACTGTTAATTTTTGATAAACCATTTTATTAAATTAAAACATTGACACAGAAGAATGCACAAATTATAACCATCTGGCGTGATGAACATTCAAATGTGGATACCCTCATGAGCTTCCTAAAGAGCATGGGTTTTATGGTTTGTGTCTAGATGTCCCTTCAAAGCCTCATGCAGTCATAGGTGGAGGCTTTTCAGAGGTTCTTTGAGACTAGTCTGCACTAGATAGTGAGTTCAAGGCTAGCCTGAGCTACAGAGTGAGACCTCATCTCAAAAAGACAAAAAAAATCTTTGTGTAGAAACCGTCTTAATTTCTTGTTTAATTTCATTTGTGACTCGTTGGTTGTTCAGGAAGGTATTATTTAATTTCCATGTGTTTATGTAGTTTCTTTTGTCATTGATTTCCAATTTCATTGTAATATGGTCTGATAATATGCATGGAGTAATTTCAATTGCTTTGCATTTACTTAAGCATGTTCTGTGGGCTAGTATATGGTCTGTTTTAGAGAACGTCCCTTATGTAGCTGAGAAGAATGTGTACACTGATGTTGTTAGGTGGAACACTTTTGAAGGTCTGCTAAGTGCATTTGTTCACAAGTTTGGTTTAGTTCTGTTATTTCTTTGCTGATTTTTTGTCTAGTTGATCTATGTCTTTGTGACAATGGGGTGTTCAAGTCCCCTGTTATGAGTGTATGTACATCAACCTGGGTTGGAGGTTTTTTGCCATGACCCACCCAGCCAGTGAGGTCCTGAGAGGGGGTTATTTAAACAAAAACTAGACACATACTAAAAGAAAAGCTGGGACTGAGTGGAACCTGACCTCCCTGATAGAGAGGCAACAACAACCCTGTACAGTTTGCATCTTTATTTATATACAATAAAAAGGGGGGAAGCAAGCAACGGAGTCAAAAGTGCAAGGTCTCAGTGTTTTGCTGAGAACACTGAAAGCAAAACATTCTCAAAACTGTCTGTGCTGTAGTTAATAGGGAAGAACACCAAGGCCAGACACCTGCTGGACTGGCTTTGCTCTATTCCCAAGGAGTTTGATGACCTCTAACTCAGCCTCAGCTCAGCTGCTCCCCACAGTTTTCTTTTCTTTTCTTTTTTTTTTTTTTTTTTTGTCTTTTTGAGACAAGATCTCGCTATGCAGTTCTGGCTGGCCTTGAGCTCACTTTGTAGCCTAGGCTGGCCTCAAACTCACAACGATCCTCCTGCCTTAGCCTCCCAAATCCTGGGATTACGGGCATGTGCCACCATGCCCGGCCCCACAGTTTTCTTTTAGGGCTTGGAATGTTTTACTGCAAGCTCTTCTTGATTTGAGGGTTTGTGTTGAGAAGTCTGCTGTGACTCTGATGGGCTTTTCTTTGTAGGTAATTTGTTTCTTTTCCCTAACAGCTTGTGATATTTTTTGTATTGAATTACTGGAATTTTCACTATTTTATGGCTTGGTGTAGTTTTTTGTTTTTTGTTTTTTTTTTTTATCATGACCATAGGAGTTTTATACACCTTGCTTATGTGTATGTGAAACTCTTTTTCTGTGCTTGGGAAGTTTTCTGCCATTACTTCTGTTAACATGCTTTTTATATGTCCTTTGTGCTATCTTCCATTTTTCAATGATTCTGATCAATCTTATGTTCTTCGTAACATCTAGCAGTGTTGGATTGATTTTTGTGGTCCCTTACTATTTTTAAGAAGTCTTTCTTTTGCTAATAGCTAACCAAAAACCTGTGTTCTAGATCAGATATTCTGACTTCACATGAGTTAATTCTGCTGTGTATATTTTCAATAGAATTTTTAATATCCCAGATATCTGAAACTGTTTCATAGAATCCAGTTTTTTCTTACTTTGGGCATTGTGTTGGTTACTTTTCTCTTGTTGCTGAGACAAAATACCCAATGCCCAAAACCAAGGAAGGAGAGGTTTATTTAGCTCAACAGTTTGTAGAGGCTTTAGTCCATAATCAGCTGGCTCCCTGCCCATTATCAGCTGGCTCCAAGGCAGGGTGGCATGGCAAAAGGGCAATAATTCATGGCAGCAGA